TGACATTTTAATCCATTACTAACAAGTAACAAATTCTATTAAAAATAACATTATATTTCAAAATTTCAAAATTTTGAATGACATATTAGTCAATTCATAGAGTTTTCTTAAATTCTTCAACTAAATCTTCATATATACTAATTCTCTTCATTCATAATGAAGAAATGTTAGTTTTCTAAGATTTATAAACATGTATCTACTTATCTTTAGCTTCAAGGTTATATGTCAATTTATTGGTTAAAAAATCAATTTATCTTTCTAAATAATCTATCTCGTGAATCGTGATATTTATATACTTGGTTTCATATTTCTACAGTAGTGTAATATATGATCAATGTGTCTTATTTGTAATGTTTTTGTTTCTTACGTAGATTCTTGAAGAATATTTAAGCAAAATGAATACACAAATAACAGACATTGATTTGTAAATTATAATATGTATATTCATATCAATTTTTCATATTAACATTTCTTTATGTGAAAAAAATATTGCATAACCATTTTTAAATATCTGTTAATGATATAATATATTTTTTTGTGACGTCCTGTTACAAATGAAAAATTGAAAATGCAATTGTGATAGTACCACTATTCTCTCTCTCTCTTTTTTTTTTCTTTAAAAAAAGAAAAGAAAATGGAGATGACATATAAATTGAAAGTATTTTTAGATTGAAAATTGAATCTAACTTATCAACATTAAAACATTAAACTACATAAATTCGTAATATTTATTTCAAGTAGTAATATTTAGTATACTGAAAAATCAAAATAATTTTGAAGTAAATTTAAAATACATTAATAATATTGAGTATAATAAATCGACTAAAACCATTATTTTCTCATATTAGTCATATCATATAAGTGATTTTTAATTGTTGATAAATACATTAATAATATTGAGTATAATAAATCGACTAAAACCATTATTTTCTCATATTAGTCATATCATATAAGTGATTTTTAATTGTTGATAAATACATTAATAATATTGAGTATAATAAATTGACTAAAACAATTATTTTCTCATATTAGTCATATCATATATGTGATTTTTAATTGTTGATACTTGATAGTTAGAAAACGTCGACAGCAGGGTTCACTAATATCATATATGTGATTTTTAATTGTTGATACTTGATAGTTAGAAAACGTCGACAGCAGGGTTCGAACCTGCGCGGGCAAAGCCCAACAGATTTCAAGTCTATCTCCTTAACCACTCGGACATATCGACTTCTGTTAACTTCAACAAGGCTTAGTTCTACTTGAACGATTTTAATTAAAAGCTCATTGCCTTTGTATTGTTATTATTATATTAATATTAATATTAATTAATTAAATCTGATCCGGTTAATTTCTTTTCTATTTTTATTTTTAAATTTCAAATATGTAAGGCATTATGGCTGTACGTAGATGCTTGTTGAGGTAGAATGTATGAAGTAACAGTGACTTATGAATTACTCATTATGTCTTATTTTATTAATTTGAGAAGTTTTTGGATATGATGGCCAAAAATGCAATGGACTTCCCTCTCTTAGAAGGAATTTCATCATACAAGCTAAGATCTCCCTTTCATAAGTCTACAAATTTCAATTCCCATAAGTTGAGCGAATGTAAGTTTGGGGCAAATTATACTCTAGACTATTGTTTTCAAAAATAAAAATAAAAATACTCTAAACTATTAATAAATGTACATTTTTAATATACTGAATGTATATTATTTGTGTACTGAATATACATTATTCGGTAATATACCAAATAATATACTTCCAAAAAATGAATATTCAGTATATTATAAATGTACATTTAGTATAATAAAATATATAACTTATGCCAGTAGTCCATCTTATACGGTTAACCATGGTCCACAATATAATGATTAACTTTTTGCTTATCACAACCCGTATATTGTTCTCTTGAATGGTAGTAACCTTCGTCCTAAAGCGCTGATGCAAGAATCTCAAAATCTTTTTGGGCTTTATTTGGCATGTCTAGGTAAAAAGCTAGTAGCTAATAAACTAACTAATTGATCAAAATTAAAGTGTTTTGTAAAATTAATTATTGAATTAGTTGATAAGTGTAAAAGACATAAAATGATAAACTAAGATATTGTGATTTTGATTAATTAATTGTAAATTTTGTTATTTTTGTAAATTAATAAAGATTAAAGTGTTTCACCCGTGCGTTGCACGTAATGAGTTTGTTATAATACTTTAAGAATATTTGGATCGATATACAAATATAAATTATAACAACGGATATTATATAGTGTAGTTGATGAAATGGGTTGTATCGGTTGTGTTTCCTGATGTTATCTTTTGCTTGAATTCGAACAGATAATTGCCCAATTACTCGTGCGATGTGCGTGCAATGCGCGTGAGATGCTCATGGATAAAAATTTTTATTATATATATATTTAGATAATAAAATAAAGATAAAATTATAAACAATTCTAATGTTGAACCAATCTCGGGGCCTATGAAAGCTTTGTCAGGGTATTCAACAATGGGGGAAAGAGTCATCATAATCAAGAAACATGTATCATCAAGCATGCTTATAGCAGATGGATGACTCAACTATTCCATCCAAAAAAAAAAAATAAATAAAACTTAATCCATAAGGTCTGCTTATTAAATTGCGAAGTGAGGAAGCTAGGGAGTATATATGAATTTTGAGATCAGACTCACGGTCCAAGACTTATTAGCATCATCAAATTCGAAGGATCTTAGGGTTGGCAAGGAATACCCCATGGATTCGAACAATGCATTGATCAAGCAGGGGCAGGGAATGACAATAAAACTCCATACTTCGCCAGGCAGCGACTTTGCCACCGCGTGTGGGAACAACGACGGTTCTAGCACCGCCACCCTTATGACGTTGACAGTGGATATCAGGTCGGAAACCACCACATTCTGATTAATCATTTTCGGGACAGAATAATTTTATTATTTTATATGCAAAAAAAATGTTATCATGCCTTCTGATCTATAATGATTGACATATAAAATTTTTCTACCGTATTTTATAACATTTTCAATCTAATATAGTTACATGATACGGACTACGGAGTATTTTTATAATTTTTCAATTTTAATATTGTTGTATTGTATTACGAATAGAAATTTTAATGTAGAATTGTAGTATGAATAGGAAAGTCGAAAACAATATATTTTATTAGGAATTGTATTACACTATTTTACAATATTAGAATATGAATTTTAATATAGAATTGTAGTACGAATAGGAAAGTAGCTAAGAAACAATATATTCTATTATGAATTGTATTATACTATTTTACAATATTATCCAAACATTAATAGCATAAGACTCTTTTGAGCAGGAAATTAGAATGGAGAATTTTGTTTTTATTAATAGTATAGATAGTATAGATAGATTAAACCTATTAAATTAGGATACGTGCAATTCTTCAACATAATGCCAATTCATTAATTCTAAACCACGTCCTTTGTTACAACACTTGTACCAAGATATGTACCAAAAGCTTCTAGTGACAATTGAGCCTTCACGGAATCTTCTTTTCGAGTCAAGTAATACCACACACCACAAATTATGCCGTGGAAACGTGTTCACCATGATTGGTGAACACGATCCTAAACGGTTTCGTTTTTACCAAAAATAAAATAAAATTTAGTTAATATGTTGTTAACGGCGTTTTGCATTCTATGTTCAGATTATGAATTTACATTTATTAAATTATGAATTTTCTGTTATGAGATTATTAATTTACAGTTATGTAATTATGAATTTTCAGTACATTCATAATCTCATAACAAAAAATTCATAATCTCATAACAGAAAATTCATAATTTCATAACAGAAAATTCATAATCTCATAAAAGAAAATTCATAATCTCATAAAAGAAAAATATTTATTAAATTATGAATTTTCTGTTATGAGATTATGAATTTAGTAATTATAAAGTTTTTGTACATTCATAATCTAACAGAAAATTCATAATCTCATAACAGAAAATTCATAATTTTATAACAGAAAATTCATAATCTCATAAAAGAAAATTCATAATTTTATAACTGCACATTCATAAATCCATACCTGCATATTCATAATTTATGATTGTTAAAGAAACTTGCGCGAAGAGGAAGTGAAACCGCAAAATGTGAAATGAAGAAGAAAAGTCGCACTGTTAAAAAAAAAAAAAAAAAAAAAAAAAAAAAAAAAAAAAAAGATTGGTGGAAGATAACGGTGCCTGTAGGTACCGTTACCGTTTGGAACCGTGTTCATCATGGATGGTAAACACGGTTACATGGACTCCTTACGCTATTTTTGTTGAGAAATAAGCCGACAACAAGCTATATACAAATACAATATTTATTTTTGGTCAGACTATGATGAAGTGTCTTGTGCAAGCTCTAACTGTAAGCAATCATTATTGTGTGGACCATATTTTGTCTACTGTAAAATAATGTACATTCAGTAAAAAAATAATGTACATTAAGTAGAAACACAATGTACATTATATTCAGGGGATGTACATTATTTTTGTTCTGAGTGTATATTATATTGTATAATGTACATGCAGTACAAAAATAATGTACATTTAATATATTAAAAATGTACTTTTTGTTATGGTCCACATAATATTGTATGGACCATGATCCACGCAATAATTTGCCAACTGTATGAGGCACCTTTAAATCTGTACCATATTCAATATCCATTCGCATCGAGCCGGCCCAATTAAGGGACGAAGTGCTGGCCAGATTGATTTTTCCTTTCAAATACAATATTTACAAGTATGGGGTAGTCTAAATTCTAGAATTCTTTGGGATCGGAAAAGAATCTTTTTATGTGGGGTTTGATTAATTTTTTTTACTTCCATATCGTGGTGTTTTGGATTTAGGGCTGAGAAATCGTTTTTCAACACTCCCAAACCAAATTCTCCCCTAAACCCTCAAACCAAATTAACACCTTTATATTATATTACTATTCTCATTCCTTAATTAGCTTGTTGTTAGAGCTACCTATAAACATTCTAATCATCACCTGTGCTCTTTACAACTTCATTTCTTTTTTGTCTTGTTTGTCCATCCTAGCAAAGATTGCAGTGTGTATTAATCTCCAAATCAACCAAGTTTCTCATCTCATCATTATATATGTTAAAAACCATTCATTTGTAACAGGCCGGACTAGCTACTCCAGCCATGACACCATTCCTAACAATCTTATTCCTACTTTCCTTTGCTTCTTCTCTCTCAAACTCTCTTCCTCTCTCAGCAAGCTCAAGATGGATCATGGATGACCAAAGTGGGGAAAGGGTGAAGTTGGCCTGTGCTAGTTGGGCAGGCCACTTGGAACCCATGTTGCCCGAGGGCCTAGACAGGAGGCCTTTAAGCCAGATTGCCACACACGTCTCAACAATGGGGTTCAACTGCGTGCGGCTAACATGGGCCACCTATATGTTCACTCGCTACGCCAACATGACGGTGGTTCAGTCGTTTGGCGATCTGGGATTGACCGAGGCGATTTCAGGCCTAGCCAGTAATAACCCGAACCTCTTGAGCCTGAATCTGGTGGATGCTCGGAAGGCGGTGGTTGAAGAGATTGGTAGACATGGGATCATGATGGTGCTTGATAACCATGTTAGCAAACCCATGTGGTGCTGTGCTGACCACGACGGTAACAGCTTCTTCGGCAGCGTCTACTTTGATCCTGATGAATGGTTACAAGGCCTAGCCATTGTTGCTAACATCTTCAAGGATACGCCCATGGTATATATATACATATATATGTTTAATTTTGTTACACCTACTATTATCAATGCTAACCAAGACAAAATACCAATTTTATCACTCACTTTACTTTTCTACAAACACTTAATGTTAATTAATTATCCGCTATCTACTTACACAATCAACCAAGAGCAAATACCAATTTTGGTCCACATGTTTAATTCATACCAATTTTCATTCATTGTTTTAGTACCAATTTTCATCCACAACTATTTTTTTTGTGCCAAAATTCATGCCGAAATATGAAATTATTAAGGGTAGTTTCGTGCTTTTCAAATTAGGATCCCTATTTGAGCATAAATAAAGGGATTTAAGCCCTAAGATTTATCATAATTCGCAGTTTTCCTCCACAAATTAAGGTAGAATGAGGAGGAGAACTGCAAATTGGGATCGATCTTAGGGCTTAAATTCATTTATTTATGCTCAAATTGGAATCTTAAGTTGAAAATGACGACAATACCCTTAAAAATTTTAGATTTCGGGATATCTTAAATATGGGGGTGACCGATGTGATGAATTTTGGTACTAAAATAATAGTCATGGATTAAAATTAGTACTAAAACAATAATAAATGGATGAAAATTTGTAAGAATTAAACATGTGGACTAAAATCGTCATTTTACTAATACTCGTTGGACCAAAATTGGTATTTGCTCCACAATCAACTATCCATTATCCATTAATTATTGTCAAACACCTCTAAACCAAAATCGAAAGAATTCACTTTTATTGTTCCCAAAAGGTTGAATCCCCAATCTCAAGAGTCCCGACCCAACAGAACATCCAAAAAATTTAACCATTTGGAAACAATAAAAGTGGATTCTTTTTGAATGGGGATTCAAAAGAATCCCACTTTTATATTTTGATTATTGGTGGAGAATGTACATTTTTTTCATTGGTATTAATTACATATATATAAAGGGTGGGTTGGGGCTGTAGGGACAGCTGTTCCCACTGTCCCAATAATAGCTGCGTCCATGTTAGCACGAATACCGTGCTAACAATACTCCATGTCTCCATACAACGGAGTATATATGATTAGATACTTTCTAGTTGCATACTTGCATGCATGTTTATTGATTGAAAACATGAAATTTCAATGTAATTTGTTGTGTTGCATGAAATTGAAGGTGGTAGGCGTGAGCTTGCGCAACGAGCTACGCGGCCCCTTACAGAACGTGGATGTATGGTACAAATACGTAGAGAAGGGTGCAAAGGCGATCAACAACGCAAACCCAAACCTCCTGGTAATCATCTCCGGGCTGAGCTACGATCTGGATTTCAGGTTCCTGAAGGAGAGGCCATTGAAGCTGAAGATGATGAAGAAGAAGGTGGTTTACGAGACGCATCGCTACGCGTTCACGGAGGGGCAGTCGAAGGCGTGGATGAAAGGGCCATTGAACAAGGTGTGTCACGACATCACACGAGAAATGGAGGAGAAGGAAGGGTTCTTGGTTAGGGGGGGAAACCCAGGCCCACTGTTTGTGAGTGAGTTTGGGATTAACCAAATGGGAGATTCTGAGGCTGACAATCGTCACTTGCCGTGCATGCTTTCGTATTTGGCTGATTTGGATTTGGATTGGAGTGTTTGGGCTCTCCAAGGAAGCTATTACCTTAGGGAAGGGAAGCATGGTCCAGATGAAACATATGGCATGTTTACTACCAATTGGACTGCCCTTAGAAATCCCAATTTCCTCTCTAAATTAGAGTTTCTGCAACAAAAACTCCAAGGTATGTACATACTTTCCTATACATAAATAGGTAGGAATGTTCAAATTTACCCCCCAACTCCCCAAGTATAAGCTAAGGTTATCAAATCACTCTTTTGGTGCATCATTAATTAGGGTGACACCGACTAACTCTCATAATTAAGAAACTAATTAGCACGCATGGACAGCTCAGTTGGTCACAGGGTAAAGTTTATGAAGAATGACCAAGAATTCATTCTTACCCATGACAGTGTGGGAACAACCTCTCGAAGTGAGTGGGCTCCTTGTGTGCAATAAGTAAAGGTCTAGCCACGGGCTGAATTACCATGATTTACATTCTCCGATATGCTCTATCGGTAGATTCGTCAAAATAGGCCCAGGCCGACGAGTTAGGCCCGTTTAACCCGGGTTTTGACGGGCCGGTTGTCATTTTCTAGCCTGGCCCATTTTGAGTCCAACCTGTTTAACCCGTGGTGGGAGGAGGATTATACGGATGATTAGGTTTTTGAAATGCTTGGCCCTTAGGGTTGGGGATTCAACCTTTGGGAATAAGAAATTAATTTGGACCAAAAAATTCAATTAGTCATAAAGTAACATGTTAAACAAAATATTTTATTGACATGACTAATAATATGTTTTACTCACACATACATGTGAAGATCCGATGTCAAGCGAACCAACTTATCAGTTATTGTACCATCCACTAAGCGGGCGATGTGCACGAGTGGTCGGCGACCAAATACACATGAGCGATTGTTCGGGTGCGAGTCGATGCATCCAAGAGGCAGATGGGAAGCCAATACACATGATTGGGTCTTTGAAATGCTTGGCAGTTGTTGGGGAAGATCTTCCACTCACCCTCTCCACAATCTGCAATGATGGGCAAAGTAATACTTGGAGCTTGGCTTCCAATTCAATGTTTCAACTAGCTAATAAAGGTGACAATGGATTGGTATTGTGCTTGGATTTCGATTCCTCGTACTCTCCCTCAACGATTTTGACAAGAAAGTGTGTTGGTTTGGAAGAGGGTGACATGAGAAATCCTCAAACTCAGTGGTTTAAGCTCATTGCATCAAATACAAAGTAGATAAAGATTGAGATTTACATATATATAATTTATATTTGAACCCGTGTGGTGCAAAATAATGTAACATCTAACATACATAATTAGGTTTGCTTTACAAAGTAAACCATGACAAAGGTCCGGAGAAAGGCAAATTTTTTAACAAATAATAAATTTTCATGTTTATTTCTTTATAATATTTAACAAAAGAAAAATGATAAGAAACAACACGAGTGAAGAAATATTAATCAAGTAAATATACTTTATAAATATATTTCGCTACTTATTAAACATCCCCCACTCTAACAGTACTTTAAATATTTACTTAAACTACCAAATCTCATTAGATAACATTCCATCTTCTTGATATTCTCCAATCGTTCGCCCTAGTCCAAAACCACGTTGTAAACATTAAAAATTTAAATGATATTGTTGGTCATAGTGGATATTTGACTATTAATTAATTACTTTAATTGAACTAATTAGATTAATATTTATTTATTGGGTTGAATGAATGGCCCAATAAATATTTAATTAGTCTAATTACATAATTAAGAATAATTGGATGTTGGCTTTTTCGGCCCAGGATGGTGGAACTGTTTGTACCAATTGGCCTGCCTAATTAGCGAGTTTGACTTGGTTTTGGCCCATCAACAATATATGTGGATTGTATAATTTTGGAAATTGTGGATAATATAAATTGGTTTGAAGATGAGATGAAATGATGAACCTGGACGTGATGATGTCCCGATACATTCTTTAATTTAATTTAAATAATTAAATTAAATATAGGAATTATCTACATGGATAGAGTTTGTTAGATTTCTTCTCTACCCTCACCACTGAAGATCTGCATACCGAAACTCTGCCGAAATCTCGCCCAGATATTTTCTGGAACACGCCCGCAATATAACTGCATTGAGGAATACGTCATTTTATGCTTGTCTGTCTTGGCTTTCTTGGAACTTTTACCGTGCTCCACAACATTGGCTGCTACCAATGAAAGAACATTTCCCATCATTTTTCATGTTCCCCTCCTCAATTCGGAGTTGTTGGATCAAGTCCTCTAGGTTCATTTCCTTTCGCTTGTGCTTCAAGTAATTCTTGAAGTCCTTATAACCTGGTGGCAATTATAAGTGGATCACATACGCCACTTGGAATGCTTCACTCACCACCATGCCTCACCACATATCTCGTCAAAGATTAATTGTAAATATTCAACTTGACTTAACACGGTATTGGAATATATCAACCATTTGAAAGTCAAGGAATCGATCGAAAATAAATTTCTTTGCGTCGGCATCCTCACCTATATACTTGTGATCCAAGGCTTCCCACAACGCTTTCTATGTGCCAATTTTGCAATATACATCCTATAGCGCATCACACAATCCATTGAGAATGTAGTTTCGACAAAAGAAGTCAGAATCCTTCTATATGTCAATGCAACTATCATCACGGATTATGCATCTTGTTCCTTTATCTCAGGATCCCTCTTGGTCAAGAACCTTGCCAAACCGAGAGTTTCAAGGTAGAACAGCATCTTTTGATGCCACATCTTGAAGTTCGATTTGTTGAACTTCTCTGGTTTTTCAGCTAAACCACTCGGTACCGGAACTAGTACCCGCATCGTGGGGATGTATCCCTCGGTGCTCCTACCAGTTTGTGAACCAACGTTCACCGGTGTCTGGGATGTGCAACATTGTTGGCGCTCCCACCATTGTTGTTTCCAACATTTTTGTCCACTATCCGAGTAGTAACCATTCGAACCTTGACTGTCTGAATTGTAACATTTCGGACTTGTATTACTCGGTTTGAGGAATTACTATTCGATCAAACTGGACCGAATGGTAGATTTTGACTCTTAGTTTCGTAACTTTTAGAAAATACCATTCGAAGTAGTTACCTTTTGAACTACTCACATTTTGAACCACTCTTCGGAGTACCTTTCTGGATATTAATAATTATGATGTTACTGAATTAATTTAATTGTGAATTAATTTCAATTTTAAATTTTAGAATTAATTTCCAGAGTAATGGTTGTCTGTTATGAAGGTTACACAAACTAATTTTATTATCAGTTTTAATGTCATGATAAATGCTATTTATCCTCCCTTCCCCTATATATAACGTTTGGTTGAGCAGGTGGATTTTTACACAATTTACAACACATATACTTTGCTCTCAAAAACCCCTGCTCATCTTATGCATCCCCTATTTGTGTTCTATACCTGTGTTCTAGTTCGACTGGCTCATTTGTTTGAGTGCTCAAACATTGAGTCGAATCCTGGAAAACCTAGGCTACAACGCTCCTAGCACTTTTGGGTGATAGTAAATAAGGTTTTAAGAAAAGAGTGTTTCGCTTGACTCGTACTAACCCTAAACCTTTTGTTGCTTGTGCTTGTATTTTTTTCAAAAATAATCTTTTTGTAGGATTATTTCGCTGCAAATACATGACTGGATTCGCTATGTGTTAGTTCAACCTATAAAACTCTAGCACTTAAGTGCCGAGTCTTACACTACCCAAATTCGTTTATGAACCTTTTTGAGGAAAACTTGATAGATTCACCAACAACTTTTAGTAAAATCCATAGCCTAATGAGGTATATATGTTGTCCTTTTTTAGATGGACTTGATAGATTTATTGACTATATTAGAGAGGTTGAGCACATATGAGATCTTAATGACTTGAGGAAGTCACCGTACCTACTTGAGTGTCAAGGGTTGACCACTTTCTATGATAGACTATAAGATATATTTATAGAGCACTCATGATCATCCAGAGGTACATTAGTTATATGTTGATATATAGATTATCGCAGAATTATGCATAGGTAGGGTTGAGGTTAGATACCATTCACATGGTTTAATCTTTTGTTTAGAAGTTTAAGAATTATTTTTTACTGGCTAAATAGAAGAATATATTCATGATATTGTTATGTGTTAGTTCAATATATAAGATTCTAGCACATTCTAGCACTTAAGTGTCGAGCTTAACCTTACACTACGTACCCAAAGTCGTTTATGAACTTTTTCATGAGTTGAAAAGTATATGTAAAGGTGCTAGTACATACTAATTATCTTATAATTAATTATTTGGTCACCAGGTCATTTTTAGTTGTTGTCCGTGAAATCTTATTTTGGCCAAAAACCCATTCAATCACTCCTCCATTCATTTTGTTAAGCTATGATAGCTTCTTCTTCTTCTTCTTTTTTAAATGGTTGTAACCTATAAATAGGTATAGATCCCCTTATCTCAAAGAAAGACACTACACACATTTGAACAAAGTTCATTGGGAGTATTTTATTTCTTTTTTCGTAGGGCGTTCTTGTGCTAATTCTATATCTTCTTTTTCGAATGAAAACATGACTTAAATATTGTTCTATGATTACCTTGGGGTAGTGCCGAGTTCATCGATTGTACCAATCATGACATAAATTGCTTCATAGTTGTTTATGTGCTTACCAGGAAAGATAATAAACAAAGAGAAGAAGGAAAAAAGAAAAGAAAATGTGGAAAAGCCTGACATGTGTCAACTGACGAAATTTAAAAAAAAAAAAAAAAAAAAAAAGTAACCGGAAACGCGCCAGCGGGTGCGTGCACTCGCGTTATGCTAATTTAATGTAGCAATGCATTTTCTCTTACATAATGGTCCTCACAATAAACTTCAAATTGTAGGAGAAATAAATTCTTCCCCACACTTGTTAAAAACTCCTCCTTGAGTTTTTTTTTGTTTTTTTTTGAATACTACTGACTCCTTGAGTTATTTATCTACAAAAATTCAATAATATCCTTTGGCGCAGATGTTCTAAATTAGCGCCTTAGTTCCATGACACAAATATTTTTCAGTTGTTAGTCTTCTAGATTTCTAGATTGTCATGGATATCGAGTAACTTTCTTAGCTCTATCACATTTTCTTGCCTATTTATTTTGTGTTTGCAACAATAATTTTCCTACAATACGTACCTTTGTTGCTTGTAAGGATACACATGTAATTTTGACTATAGTCTTAATTTTTTTTTAAATGAAATAAATTGCTACGTATAAAATAAAGTTCAATGCTAATGACCGTATTGGGTTTTTAAAGTTAATGGCCTTATTGGATTAGGTGTATTATATTAATCACATTTGAGAATATGGGTGTAGAGTTGGTACTTGGTACAGATATTAATAATATACTTTCTTTTATTTTAGGGAAAATGACACTTTTTCCCCCTAAATTATATACTTATAGCACTTTTTCCCCCTCAATTATTTAGGTAAGCATATTAGCCCCCTCAATTATTCTAAAAGTAGTGGTTTTTCCCCCTGATATATTAAATTGACATTTCTACCCTTAAAGTGAACATTTTATTTATTTTACTTCTCCAATAAATTATTGCGTATACGTAGGGATGACCACGATTCGGTTCGAACTGAACCGGACACTATAGCAATTGAATTAAAAGTTTCCAGTTATGATTCAGATCTAGAACCTAATATTTGGATTTCAATTTATTAAAATTATGAATAAAAAAAAAATTGGATCCTGAACCGTGAACCGGCGATTCCGGATCCGGTTCGCGACTTTGAACCGTCTTTATTTTAAAATTTTATTTTTTATTTTAAAATAGTCTAAATTCAACAATAAATGTATTTTATTTTTTCGTTTGGAACATGAACCGTCCGTTCCGGTTCGCGATTTTAATAAACTCTAAATATCGAGTTTCGATTTTAAATTGTAATTGGAATATTTCGATTTGGTTGCTATAGTGTTTGTTTGGTTTGAACCAAATTATGGTCATAATTTGTTGGAGAAGGAAAATAAATGAAATATTTATTTTAAGGGTAAATATGTCCATCTAACATTTCAGGGGGAAAAACAGCCACTTGAATATTTCAGGGGGAAAAAGTGCTATAAGAATATAACTCAGGGGGAATAAGTGCCATTTTCCCTTTATTTTACCTTAATTAGTTTATGCCACATTTTAAAATTTTACCCTTACAATATCATGACTATCTTAATTGTAATTGATATTACTATTGGACACTAATTAACTAAAAAAAAAAAAACTATATCATTGTTAAATGACATCATATAAAATGTACTAAAACTGGTAATAAATAGGAGACAAATTGTTAGTGTATATCATATACAAAAATGATCCAATAAATATATTTACAAAAATAATATTATTTAAAAAAAAAAACTAGATTACAACTGAAGTAAAACTCTAGTTTATAAAATAAATAAAATTTATATTAAATTTACAAGTTCAAGTTTATAAATATAAAAAGTTTCTAACAAAATGGGCTTTTATGCAAATTGAAACGATTTATGTATGTATAATACTAGAAGATAGTATCACAATGTGGGGATGTAGCTCAGATGGTAGAGCGCTTGCTTAGCATGCGAGAGGTACGGGGATCGATACCCCGCATCTCCATTTTCGCTTATTTCTGCGTATCGGTGAAATATAGAAACATCTCCATTTTCGCTTCTGTCTAACGGTGGAATATAGAAAGTTAGAATTTAATAATTAAGGGAACAAAATGCATAATCACAAATTAACTTACATTATAGATATAACAATTCAATATCAACCACAAACTAATGCACATTATAAATTTATCAAATACACAATTCACAAATATAATTAAACTATTAATTACCTATGAATCAATTTTACAAATTAATTTTTTAAAATCTCATAATAAAATATTATAGAATATTATTATAATTAGAGGTTATACCTTAAAAAAAAATAAAATTAGAATAGATATGAGATGCATTTAACAACTAAAAAAAATACATATACTCCTTGTGTCCCATTTTATCTGTTTTATTTACTATTCATTGATTAAACCAACTATTTCTTCTTTGGTTATTTCTATTAGCATTTTTTCTAATTTTAAATTTGATTTTTTTTTTTGGTGTTTAATTGTACTTTTAATATAATTTCTAAATATATAAATTTTACGTAAATAACTTCAGTCAAGCCTCGTTAATTGAACCCAACACTTAAAATGAGATGGAGCGAGAGTACATAGTTTTAGCTTTTCAAAAAAAAAAAAATCAAGGGAGAGGAGGGAAAGGGGCTATTTATATCATGGAACATAATCTACATAGCATTATGGACTCTGAATTGAAACAACGAGGTACATAATTAATACACGTAAGTTCAGAATTTCATAACACAAAGCACAAAAAATTAAAACACAAGACACATAGCATAGCATTGTACGTCAAAGTTGGAGGATGAAAAAAGCGTGTTTACAACTTCAGGATTAATACATCTTCATTTACTAACAATACTAGTAATAGCACCACATTGAAGAAACATATGACAAATTAAAGGAGATGGAGTGATATATATTGAAGGATACACACCAGCCAAATGAAGAGCAGTATGATCAAGCCAAGACGTAATCAAGGGCTTTTATGTATTTTGTTTTCTTGGTTAGTTTCAACGGCTTTTACCGCCTTTTCCCTCTGTATATAATCTTGGCTCTTCATTCCATTGAGACTAATGAAACATAATCTTCTTTCCCTTACTTGCGTAACCTCTCTGCAACCTTCGTTCGTTTTTCCGTTATGGTATCAGAGCCACGTCCAGGCAGTTATGCCGCCGCGGTCATCGGCTCCGGTGAGCCTAGCCAAGGAGTCCGGCCGGCAATGTCGATCAACCAGTCTCCAGAACAAGCACCATTCACAGCTAATCCCGTTCCGCAGAGGAACAACAGCGTCGAAGACATCGAAAATCCACTTTATCTCAACGTAAATGAGAATCCGAGTGCGATCTTAGTCAGTCCGCCCTTGTCTGGTAGTGCCAATTACGCATCATGGAGCATCTCAATGCAGGTGGCCCTTGAAGTTAAGAACAAATGGAGCATAGTCGATGGAAGTTTGACGCCGCCGGAGAGAACACATGTCCAGTACACTCCTTGGAGGAGATGCAATTTGATTGTTTGTTCGTGGATTCTCAGGTCCATCATCCCGTCAATCGCACAAAGTGTGATGCATATGGACAAAGCCAAAGACATCTGGAACGATCTGCGCAGGCGATTCTCCCAGCGTGACGCACATCGTATCTCTTTTATGCAAAACGATATCTATAATCTGAGGCAGGGCACTATGTCTGTTAATGACTACTATACTAAGTGCCGGACCCTTTGGGAGGAGATGAATTCTCTGAGGCCCCTTCCAGTTTGTAAATGTGAGCCGCATTGCACATGTGATCTGCTCGACGAGATCAGAAAAGATCGAGAGATCGATCAAATAATTCGATTTATCCAGGGACTAAGTGACGACTATAATTCACTGAAGTCCGGAGTTCTCGTGCTTGATCCGTTACCTGAGATGCATAAGGTGTTCGTCATGGCTGAAAAGTTAGAGAGACAGTTAGCCATCACAAACCTAAGCATCGCCAATCTAGAAGTCACTCATGCTAATGCTGTTCAAATCGGACAGAATGATAGAGAAGAAATTGCTGCTGCCTTCAACTATTCTAATGGAAAAAGGGTGATGAACACGGGAGGGAGCAACAAGAACACTGCTAAGTGTACCTTTTGTGGCATGACGGGGCACACCGTTGAAAAATGCTACAAGAAACATGGCTACCCACCGGGGTGGGTGCCACTTCAAGTCCAAAAATAAGCAACAGTTTGCAGCAGCCACAAGCTCTGAGAATAACCTTACTCCTGAGAAAATTCGAAGCCTACTGTCTCTTCTTCATAATCAAACGGGGCAGAACCATCCCTCTACCACAGCTGCAGTTTCCCTTGTTCCAAGATTCAACCAAGAAAATTCTAGCAATGAAGGCAAGTATACTAATCTTATGAATGCTAATTCCATTACCTTAACTGCATCCACTTGGATAATAGATTCTGGCGCGACTAATCACATAGTGTGTTCCCTTGAATTCTTTGATGAGTATCACACTATGAAAGGAGCATTGGTAAACATGCCCAATGGAGAATGTGCCACTATTGAACATATTGGCACCATACGGCTCAATGATGGTCTTTGCTTGGAGGATGCTTTACATATTCCATTGTTCAAATTTAACATAATATCTGTAAATAAGCTTCTTCAAAACTCTCCTCACTCTTTGGTGTTTACCTATGGCCAGTGTCTTCTTCGCGAGGACCATGGGAGGACGATTGGCTTTGCTAAAGAAACAAAAGGGATGTACCTGCTGAATGATCCCCCAAGAATCAAGACTAATGTTTGTAGGTAATTTGCTTTGCAGTGTAATAATGTTGAATTGTGGCATCATCATTTGGGACATTTTCCCGTGAATAAGATGCACTTCCTTGATGGTATTTCGATTCCTAATACAAAGAATTTAATATGTCATGCATGCAATCTTGCTAAACACAGACGTTCTCCTTTCCCCTTAAGCAAAACTATGTCAGCTGTTTGTTTCGATCTAATCCATGTGGATATATGGGGCCCTTTTCAAGTAAGATCAGTGGGAGGGGAAAGATTCTTCTTAACAATTGTTGATGACCGATCAAGATATACTTGGATTCGGTTGATGAAGAGCAAAGCAGAAACAAGGGAGTTAATAAGAAGCTTTCACAGAATGGTACTCACTCAATTTGGGGTGAGTATCAAGGCTTTGCGCAGTGACAACGGTTCAGAGTTCAAAATGGAAGACTTCTTTGATAAGAATGGTATAATTCACCAACGCTCATGCGTAAATACTCCTCAGCAGAACGCTATTGTAGAACGCAAGCACCAGCATGTGTTGGCTGTTGCTCGTGCTCTCCGATTCCAAGCCGGTCTCCCTCTCCAGTTCTGGGGGCAGTGTTTGATTCATGCCGTTTACCTGATCAATAGGTTACCATCGGCTGCTCTCAATTGGTCAAGCCCTCACCACAAGTTGTATGGCAATTGCCCGGATCTTAGAAGTCTAAAGACTTTTGGATGCTTATGTTATGCTGCCACATTGTCATCTGCAAGACATAAGATGGCACCAAGGAGCAGAAGGTGTATATTTGTGGGGATCCCAGCAGGTGTGAAAGGCTATATATTGTATGATCTTCTTGATCAATCCACCTTCATATCCCGTGATGTTGTCTTCTACGAAGATCAATTCCCTTTGGCTCAAACAGTGGACTCTGAATCACAGATTATGGCTCCCTCCTTGCCTAATATTCCCACGACAACAAATGAAGAATTCAACCCTCAGATGGACACTAACACTCAGTTCCGAAATGATGAAGGGTCATCAGAAGCTCCCTCTTTACATAATGAAAATGCAGATGAAGAACAACCTCTGAGTTCTGCCCATAATGGCAATCACTATGTTAGTGATGAAAGCCTAGCAGCAGCAGACCCCATTCCAAGTAACAATTATGGAGATGGTATGGGCAGTTCCAATTCCTCAAATCATGCACAACAACCTCTTGGCCTCACACTACTGCAGAATGATCTTTTACAACACCCTCGGAGGTCCAGTAGGCAACGTCAACCCTCCAGCAGGCTCCAAGGATATTATTGTGATATTGTGGTCAAGAACAGAACATCCCCTCACCACTTATCAAAGGTGGTGACCTATGATAACCTTGGATCTTCACATAAAATGATCTCCGTTGCTGTGACCTCCATCACTGAACCAAAGAGTTACAAGCAGGCAATCCAGCATGATTGCTGGAAACAAGCTATGAACGCAGAAATTAGTGCTCTTCAAGAAAATCATACTTAGGAACTCACTGAATTGCCACCAGGGAAAATACCGATTGGGTGCAAGTGGGTATACAAAGTAAAACTTAGAGTGGATGGAACAATTGAAAGATGCAAGGCGAAGCTAGTTGCAAAGGGATATACGCAACAACTTGGCATAGATTATCTCGAAACTTTTTCCCCAGTTGCAAGGCTAACTACAATTCGGTTATTCATAAGCATTGCTGTTTCTAGATCATGGCACATCCACCAAATGGATATCACAATGCGTTTTTACACAGAGACCTTAATGAGGAAGTATACATGACTATGCCACCTGGTTTTGAGAGCGAAAAACCCAATCAAGTTTGCAGACTTCTAAGGTCTTTGTACGGGTTGAAACAGTCAAGTCGGCAATGGAATGCCAAACTCAGCACTGCTCTGGTTCATGATGGATTCAAACAGTCCACCGTCGATCCGTCTTTATTCACTAAAGGTGATGGTAAAGATAACTTCATTGCTCTCCTTGTTTACATTGATGATATCCTTGTTACAAGTGCAAATATGGAGCTCATCCAAAGTCTCAAAAAGTTTCTGGATACTGCATTTAAAATAAAAGATTTGGGGCCCTTGGGCTATTTTTTGGGAATAGAAGCTCATAGGATATCAGATGGTTTAAGCTTAAACCAACGCAAATATGCCCTCAAAATTTTGGATGAAGCCGGCTTTCTGGACAGTAAACCAACAAACACACCAATGGTTCAAGGATTGAAATTGGTACATAATGAGGGAGTGCCTATCACTGATGCTAGCATGTACAGGAGATTAGTTGGGAGATTACTATATCTCACCGCAACTAGACCTGACATTACATTTGCTGTACAACAACTAAGCCAATATGTGGATGCTCCTACGGATATACATCTATTTGCTGCTTATAGAGTACTCAGATACATCAAGAACTCACCAGGGCAGGAGTTGTTCTATCTTACAGATTCTGACCTGCAGCTCAAAGCCTTTTCGGATTCCGATTGGGCTACATGCACTGAAACACGTAAATCCGTTACTGGATATTGCATATTTCTTGGTTCTTCTCTCATTTCATGGCGTTCGAAAAAGAAACCAACTGTCTCCCGATCCAGCTCTGAAGCCGAATACCGTGTTCTTGCAGCCACTGTCTGCGAAATTCAATGGTTGACATATCTGCTTAATGATCTTAAGGTCCCCACGACCAAACCAGCAACCCTCTTCTGTGATAACAAATCGGCGGTGGCCATTGCAGAAAACCATGTCTTCCACGAACGCACAAAACATATCGACATTGATTGTCATGTCGTTAGAGAAAAATTCACCCAAGGTTTAATAAAGCTTCTGTCTGTCACCTCCGAAAACCAGCTTGCCGATGGATTCACAAAACCCCTCCCTGCTTCATCGTTCAACCACTTCAAATCTAAACTGGGCACACATGACTCATATGCTCCAGCTTACGGGGGGGGGTGTATTGAAGGATACATACCAGCCAAATGAAAATCAGTATGATCAAGCCAAGACGTAATCAAAGGCTTTTATGTATTTTGTTTTCTTGGTTAGTTTCAACGGCTTTTACCGCATTTTCCCTCTGTATATAATCTTGGCTCTTCATTCCAGTGAGACTAATGAAACAGAATCTTCTTTCCCTTATTTGCGTAACCTCTCTGCAACCTTCGTTCGTTTTTCCGTTAATATATGAGTTGTTAGCATAAAGACTATGTTAAATTTATCTAACATGTTAATTAATTAATTAATTATTTATTTATTTATATTTTCAATCAAATTGGAGTATTTCGCTATGTTATGGATACAAGTGCTTCATAGAGGCTACCAAAGAATAATACAACATTATTACTCCAAAGAATTAATATTATACTCCGTAATTGTTAGGGTGTGTTTGATGACTTTGATCTGCAAATGGGAATCGTAATGAGAATCAAATATATGGTAATGGATTTTTGTGAAAGTATTTTGCATGTTTGATAGTATGGTGGAATTAGAATAATGATTATCAATATTGATATTTAGTTATATATGGCCCTATTATAGGAATAATGCAAATTATGATGTGGACTCGTATCCACTATGTATTGTGGACACGAGTCCAAAACAACAGCGTTTTCAGGGAAAACGACAGCATTCCAATTTAAAAAAAAAAATTGAATTTGTCTCGCCGTTAACAGCGTTATTCGTTTGTGAACTTATGAATGTACAGTTATGAAATTATGAATGTACAGTTATGAAATGATGAATGTACAGTTATGGAATTATGAATATACAGTTATGGAATTATGAACACAGAGCTCTGACATTATGAACTTACAATTATGAACATATAGTGATAAAATTATGAACATACGCTCCTATAATTATGCAAATTGGAGAATGAGCGTTGAAGAGAGCTTTTGAGTGAAGAAGAAATGGAAGCTTGATCGACAGGAAACTCGCGAAAATGGATGCTTTATCATCAGAAAGAAGCGGACTGAAATTTAAAACAAAACAAAAAAACAAAAAAAAAAAAAAAAATTGGTGGAAGATAACGGTGCAACTTACGGCACCGTCAATGTATGCTGGACACGGGTCCATAGCATAACGATTGTGGGAATAAAGGTTTTTAAAATACAAAAACAAAAAATCGAAGCAATTTATCCTAATATAATGACATCCAAAGCACCAAGATGAACAAAAAATCAAAACAAAAATATGAGGGATGTAGTGATCGAGGATACAACAGATCGTGAGGTGACAGATAAGGAATAAGATGGAATGATACCCATTTTTAATTAGGGAATGAAGTTTTTAATTGAAGGGATAATCAAATCTCATAGTTGTGTTTTAAAAAGTTATCAACTAAACAATAACTATGATTTTGATTCTCATCGTGATGTATGGTATAAACTGTAAACTCATGAACTAAACACATACACCCTTATTTTATAAAGAGCAATAACCACCCTTATTTTATAAAGAGTGATAACTAGATAAATTTTTTCATAGTAAGGTACTCCTTTGACTCTTTTTACTATATTCCAATTTAAACAAAGACAACCAGAACGATAAAACACAAGAAATTGATATTGCAGCTGGATAACAACTCTTAATCTGCGGCCATGCTCAAGAATTTTCAGTAGAGATCAACCTTCCATTTCTACATCTACATATATATACAATTTTAATAAGAGCCAATAATGTTAGGCCCTTAACTGAAATAAAAAAATGTCAGTCCTAATTGTTTCTTAAAATGAATGGTTCTTATTATTTTGATTTTAGTATTTCTTAATGATTTTCCTTATTTACCCTTTATTATATTATTTTCTTCCCTTAAATAACCTTAAATTCCGTTAGTATAAACTTTCTTAACGGAATATTCCGTTAACTATTTATTATTCTTTAATTTACTCATTAATTTCTATAAGAGATGTCTTAGGGTCGAACCACATCCCAAGTAGAGTTAGCATAATTGTTAAACATATACTACGAATATGTTACAAAGTATTAAAAAATATAATATAAAATTTAATATAAACTTTGGTCAAATAATTAGCCCATCTAAATACATAGCATTCAATGATTATAAATCACGAACTTTGAAAATCATTTGATTTTCTTTCATTTAAAAAAATAAATAAATTTAAGTTAAGTTTTTTTTTCGTTTAATTAATCTTATTTTGATTATTGAGAACAAAACTTAATAATTCAATTATGCTTTTATCAATGCGTGAAAACTTCTAAAGAATTGAAATTTATAAGTTAATTTTTACTATATTATTATAACAATATATATTGTAACCTTATATTACGAATTATTTATTACCATCCTCTATTGATAGTAATTGTCATTGACAAACTCTCAAAACAATTTGTCTCAACAACAAATGAAAATTAAAAAATCAATGATTTCATTATTGTGGATGAAAAGTATGTACGTCACTTTAGTGTTCTTATTAAATTAAAAAATAAATTAGTAGCTACAACAAAAAAATAATACATATGCATTTAATTAATTTAGAATTAGATGTCTATAATACTTATATTATCTTTATTTTATACAATTCAAAGATTCCTTACCTTCAAATTTATTAATTTACTAGTTTTTTACGCGCATTGCGCGATTGAGATAATGCCCAATATTTTTTTAAATAAGTATTTTAAAGTATATCAATGCAAGATTATATTAGAATTGTTCATGCATAGATAATTGAATGTTAAATTTGTGTATTTAAATAGGCAATTCTAAGTTTACAAATGCAAGATAATATAGTCAAGATTGATTATAGTTGTCAATAAAATAATTGTATAGGTATGGTTGAAACCAAATATAGGACATAAGGGAGAGAAAATAAAAATTAGGGCATAAATTATTAAATACTCCGTATATACTAATATAATATTGAAGAACTAACTACTGATTGTCAAACAAGGACATTGCGAGATAGTTTCCCACTTCAATTTGTTGTGTGATTTGAATACTCTTTTTGTCAATAAATCTCCCAAGTAGTTAATATGATTGACTTAATTATATTTTTATTTTTTTATTTTTTTATTTTTTTAAAACAATTATTATTATTATTATTATTATTATTATTATTATTATTATTATTATTATTATTATTATTATTATTATTATTATTATTATTATTATTATTATTATTATTATATCATCATACCCTTAGGTCATTTTACATGTTAATCTAAACAAATAATTTTTTCAAATATCTTTTTACCAACCATTGATATAATTCGCTGGTCAAATTCGCTAATATAATCCGCTAACGCTAACCACTAACTGATGATTGTCAAACAAGGATATTGCGAAGTTGTTCTCACTTCAATTTATGTGTGATTTGAATAGTCTATTTAATTTGTCAACAAATCCTTCAAGTAATTAATATGATTAGCTTTATTAATTATATTTTTTTAATTTTTTCATGGTATTAATAAAGTACTTGGTAAATAAATATATAGCATTATTTTGTATTATAACTTTGATATTAATTAAAAAAAAGTGCACAAAAAAAGGTAATAGACAATGTGTGAATATAATCAATTGATGAATTTGAATGTAAAGAATTTTTACATTGGAGAAATATAAAGACAATATAACTAATAAAATTATTTCTCTTAATTAATTTATTAATAATGAATTATTTTTTTAATAAAGACATTGTAGGGATAATGTAGCAAATATAATCAATTGATGAATTTGAATATAAAGAATTTTTATATTGGAGAAAAATAAATACAATATAACTAATGAAATTATTTCTCTTATTTAATTTATTGATAATGAATTTTTTTTTTTTTTTGAATAAAGGCATTGTAGACACATAATTCTAAATTAAAAAAATGATATGTATTATTTTTTGTTGTAGCTACTAAATTATTATTTTTAATTAATTTAATAAGAGTAAAATAGAGTACGAATTATGCCAACTTTGATTGGGATGAGGTTCGAACCTAAGACCTTTAAATTCTTATTAAAATCAGTGAGTAAGTTAACGGTGAACTAACTGAAATTAACGGAAAATACAATATTTAACGGAAAATCACATTCATTAAGGATAAATTAGGAAATCTTAAGGAAAAATTAAAATCTGATCAATCTGAGCCATTCATTTGATTAAAAAATTTGACCACCATTTTTTCTACCCATTATAGGCCTAACTCTCTTGGGCTCTTATTAGTATAGTAGATAGATTATATTCACTACATTATCTATTGTCTTCTTTTTATATTATCTTGTAATTAAATATCAAAATTATAATACAAAATATGTTTTATATATATATATATATATATATATATATATATATATATATATATATATATATATATATATATATATATATATATATATATATATATATTTATTTATTTATTTATTTATTTATTTATTTACCAAGTATTTTATACAAATATAATAAATATTAATATTTTGTTAAATACTTTCACATAATAACTTATGACACAAGTCTCACAACACATGAAACATGTAGGGGAAATTAAACTACCACTATCAAATATCAACATGTGCTTGTAAGATAAAGAGTTCATAGCACAACTAAAATCTCAGTCATATACACAACAAGGCAAATCTAAAGTTTCCTACACCATAATCTCATTACATGATGAATCCCTCTATACTACTAACAATAACCTAATTGCACATGACATACTACCAAAAAAAAAAAAAAAAAACATGTACTAAAGATGAAGACAATGACAATGCTACCTAAACGAGAATTAGAGAAATTTAAACCTAAATTTGTATTTATTTAGACTATCGCTTTTAGACTAAGTATTTAGACTAGCGTTATTAAAAAGTTGCAAACATTTATTTTGGAATAAGGTTCAAATTGGTCACTGAACGTAACATGAAAATGTAATTAGGCCACCGAACACTCAAAAACGTGCAATTAAGCCACTGAACACTTCAAATGTATGCAATTTCACCGGATAGAAGGTTACCATCAATTGTAGCAAGTTACCTACTTACATGACAACTGAGTTGGCATTTTAATAATTTTTTAGAAAAAATGAAAAAATTTAAATAAAAAAATAAAAAATAAAAATAAAACAGACGGGGTAGCCAACGGCCACCCCGTTATTTTTTTTTTAATTTTTTTTATTTTTTTAAAATTTATTATCAAAATTTATTAAAAATTATTCAAAATTTATTAAAAATTATTTCGTTCAATGACCTAATTACATTTTCAGATTACGTTTAGTGGCTAATTTGAACCTTATTCCATTTATTTTTGTGACAGTTATATATAATCAATCTCTCATATATTATCTTGCATTTATATACTTTAAATTACTGATTTAAATAAACAAATTCAACATTTATTTACATATGCATGAACATCTTCTATATAATATTGCATTGATATACTTTGAAATACTTATTTTAAAAAAAAATCATTGGGCATTATCCCAACGCGTAGAAAAACTAGTTTACAATTACAAAGCTCAATGATTTACTAAATTAGGTCCACAACCTACCAATTTAAACAACTCTAAGATACAATGAGCATGATTTACTAAATTAGGTCCACAACCTACCTATTTAAACAACTCTAAGATACAATGAGCTAATCTTTTCGATTATACAAATTGTATATATATCAACCTAAATTTCCAACACTTTTTTGTACTTGTAAACTTTTCTACTTACTAGAGCAAATCCCTACTGTTAGCATGGTTTGCTCCATTCACATGGGTGGGGATCAAACCCCCAACCTCATGTTTAAATGACGAGGTGCTGAACCACCACGCAAGTCATGTTGGTTAAAACTTCGAACGTAATGATCTTACATAATCCCTTTAAATAGCAATTTGGACAGACCTTGAATATAATTTAGGCTTTTATCCACGCATAAACGCACGTTCTTAATTTCCTTCATGTTTCGTGGTGAATATTTTGCTTCAATATATATTTGCCACAAGTTTGTTGAGAGAATGCAGCCAGCTTCACAGCTACACCTCATTTGAGAAGGATCCAACCTCCCTAAAATTCTTCTCCCTAATTCTAAGAATCTATCTATTTATATAAAAATAAAGTGATCCAACATATATATGTCAATATGCAAAATAAACCTGTACATCAATTTATAAATTATTATCGTACTAATTAACAAGAATATATATTGATTGGCATAATGACATATATTCAGTTGTTATACCATGGACCATGTTCATATTGCAAGGTATACTCTGATCCTAAATTGTGTATTTTAGTATTGGAATTGTGAACTTTTAGAATATAAATTGTGTTTTTAAATTTTGTGAATTTGTAAATACAATGCAAAGTTATAAAAAATTGTGAATTGTTAAAAGATAAATTGTGTATCTTTGGATCCAAATTCACCTTCATATATTCTATGGGAACCAACTAAATGGGTAAGGAATTAAAGTATTAAACAAAGTCATGTAAGTAATGATAAGTTAGTGTTTAGTCTTTATGGTATGTTATGATTGAATGTATTTATTATTTTGTTAGATTTTTTTTTTTTTTTTGAAAAGATTATTTTGTTAGATTTAATTGTATACTTTTTTATAAAAAAAAATAAAAATAAAAATTAACATATTAATTTTTTAAGGATAAAATTAACATATTAATATGCATAACAGGCCGGTTACACGAGCGTTGCCAATAGATTCAAAGCAGGACTTTGCTTAGCTTGCAGAGTAACGTTTCACAGCCTTTGTAGTGGAGAAAAAGCTCAAAAGGAAAACAAAAATTGAGCAATGGAGATGCGGGGGATCGAACCCCGTGCCTCTCGCATGCAAAGCGAGCGCTCTACCATTTGAGCTACATCCCCATTTGATTTCTGTTTCTCTTTAAACATATTACTACTGTTAATAAAATCACTGTACAGTTTGATGGAGGATTTGCATGTTGGACACTTTCATCATTCAGTGCCCATCAACTCAGCTCCCTACCTCAAATCTAAATCAAATCACAGTACTATATGTATCCTTAGAGCATGCATTTACACTAGTGAAGAATAGTGAGTTATTTCAGCAATAATTCTCTCAAGCTAAAAATAATATTGATGTGGGGGAGAATTAATTAGGGAAGAATGCATATGTAAAATAGGAAATAATGTAAAATAGGCGCGCCTGACAGTTCTTTTTTTTTTTTTTTTTTTTTTTTTTGCATTTGTTTTTTTATTTTGGTTTTTTTATTTTTTTTTCCTCCCTTCCCCACATTCTCTCTCCTAATCACTCTTACATTATCCCCATATTCTTCCCAAGTTCCCAACTAATGTGGATGCTCTTATCATTATGGAAAATACTACTTCTACTCCCAACTTTTACCATTATCTCTCTCAAAATTTTGATGTTGATATTCTCATTGGGACCCACATGTCGATGGGAAACTTACATTTTTCAAAAATTTTGACAGAAAGGAAAAACTACTGGTCGGTGGAAAACTTGAACAATTTTCAAAAATTAACTTATCATCTTTTATCTTAAAATGAGAGAGTAGAAATAAAAAGCTGAGTGTTCAAAAATTAATTTATCATCTTTTATCTTAAAATGAGAGAGTAGAAATAAAAAGCTAAGTCCATGTAGTAGGACTCTCATTATTTTCAACCCTCAAAGATTTGTCATTAGGAACTATAGAGTGTCTTATAATTGGTTGCATTGTTTGGGTATTTAGCTAAGAGAGAATTGGAGAAGATAAAAGAATAGAGATAATAAGAGATTTGGAACATGAATTATTTATATGCCCGGTATTTTGTGTAGCAACTCAACCTTAATGTTAAGTGATGTTTTGTTCAAAAAATAAATTTATTTCATTTTTTTTTTTTTTGTGATAAGTTATTATCTTCATAAAAAATACTCCGTAAGTCTTTTTAAAAAATACTATCTCATAAAACATATTTTATGATGTGTATAAAAATAAGTGGGAAAAAAAAAAAGAATGAAAACAAGGGAGGTCGTGACAAAAATATTTTATTTTTTTGTGTGAATGCAATTAAGACTTAATTTATGTTCTTTCCTGATTTTTTTGTGTTAAGAAAATTGTATTTTGCGATCTTTTGTATAAATGGTAGAATAATAAAATACGGCTGGAAATTATGAAATTTCTGATCACATGAAAGTGATCTTAAATCAAGTCGAAAGCAAAAAGTGGTCGGAAATACCAACAAAAATTTTTCCGGATACCAAAAGTGGTCGGAACAAGGCTTTCGACTTGATTTAAGATCACTTTCATGTGGTCGGAAATTCCAGAATTTCCAGCAGTGAAAATATAGTTAGATTTTATAATTTCGATAATGTAATATATATATATATATATATATATATATATATATATATAATAACCTTAAAATTGGACATTAATATAATATAACCACACTAAAAATATTTTTTATTTATGCAATTACAATTAAGCTGAGTATCTAGCTAGTCTAAACCTAAACTAAAATTCTAAATTCTAAATTCTAAATTCTATCTATAGCTACTTGACATTGGATGCAATGAGCTTAAACCATTGAGTTTGAGGATTCCTCATGTCACCCTCTTTCAACCCAACACACTTCCTCGTCAAAATCAAGGACGATGAGTACGAGGAATCATAATCCAAGCACAACTCCACCCCATCGTTTCCTTTGTTAGCCAACTGAAGCATGGAAGCCAAGTTCCATGTGCTCCCTTCATTCATGCAGTGGCCGGAGAGGGTAGCCGGAAGTCCATCCCTTTCGGCGGTCAAACACGCCGACATTCCTAACAAGCTTATCGGCATCCCATCCGCCCCGTGCGCCCATCGGCTCGCGCCCAAGCAGTCGCTCATGTGCAGCCGCCCGCTGTCTACTCGAGCACATTTCCCACTCAATGGATGGTACAACAGGTAGTAAGTTGCTTCACTCGACCGTGGATCTTCACAACATATATATACACCAAAACATGCATGCATATATGTTAGTCATTTCAATTTGTATGAGAAAGTAAGATTTTTCTTTTTGGGTTTAACACAGGGTTAGAGAGAGTGACTAATCTCCCAATTGGATTGAATTGTAAGAGTGACCAGTGACTTGAATTGAATTGCTCAGGGTGACTAATCCCCAACTAAATTGAATTGCTCATTGGTTAGGGTGACTGAATTGAATTGGTCAGGGTGACTAATTCCCCCATTGGTCAGGGTGAGGCTTCCTCAGCTGAATTGATTTTGGGAGGGTGACTATTCCCCCAACTGAATTGATTTTGGGAGGGTGACTATTCCCCCAACTGAATTGAAGACACCCTAAGGTAAAGACAACAGGTATCAATCCCTAATGTTTGGTTAAGGATATTATGGATGAGTATCTTCCACGACCCCTGTAGGTCAATCTCATGATGCGAACTGTGGGTGTTATATGGAAAATAATGTTAAACAAATATAGGAAAACATATTATATTGATAATTACGTATGTACCTTGGAGTTTATTTTGGAGAAACTCTAGTTTGGAGTGATAGGTAGGATTTCTAAGGGCAGTCCAATTGGCGTTGAACATGCCATATGTTTCCTCCATATCACGTTTGCCTTGCCTAAAGTAATAGTTTCCTTGAAGAGCCCAAACAGCCCAATCCAAATCTTTATCAGCCAAATAAGCAAGAATACAAGGCAAGTGAAGGTTGTCGGCCTCACTCATTTCCGTTTGGTCGATCCCAAACTCACTCACAAACAGAGGGGCGCCGTCTTTCCCTCTTATCAAGAACCCTTCTTTCTCCTCCATTTCCTGTGTGATGTTGTAGCAAACCTTGTTCAATGGCCCGGCCTTCCACATCTTCGATTGCCCCTCCGAGAACGCGTACCGATGCGTCTCGTAAACCAACTTCTTCCTCATCATGTGAAGCCCCAATGGCTTTTTCTTTAGTAACCTGAAATCAAGATCGTAGTCCAAACCTGAGATGATCACTAGCAGTTTTGGGTTTGCCCTGTGTACTGTTCTTGCTCCCTTCTCTATGTTCTTGTACCATACACCCTCATCTTGCAATGGCCCTCGCAGCTCATTCCTCAAGCTTATGCCCACCACCTATCACAAAACATTGCAGATCAGATCACGGGGAAAATTCACAGCCACTATTATGGGTGTGTGTATTAGCCATTAGGCAAATTAAACATACATACCATGGGTGTATCTTTGTAGAGACTAGCAACCGTGGCTAGGCCTTGCAACCATTCTTTAGGGTCAAAATACTTGTCGCCGAAGAAGCCATTGCCGTCTTCATTGGCGCAGCACCACATAGGCTCGCTCACCTGGTTATCAAGCACCATCATGATGCCATGTCTCCCAACCTCTTCAATCACGGCCTTGTGAGCATCAACCAGACTGAGGCTCAAAAGGTTGGGATTGTGTTGGGTTAGACCAGCAATAGAGTTGTTCAAACCGAGATCGCCGAAGGATTGTGCCACGGTCATATTGGCATGCCTGGTGAACATGTAAGTTGCCCATGTCATCCTCACACAGTTGAAGCCCATGTTTGCGATGTGGGAGGCAATCTCGCTTAATGGTCTCTTGTCAAGACCCTCAGGCAACATGGGCTTCAAGTGGCCTGGCCAATTAGCACAGGCCAGCTTCACTCTTTCACCACTTTCTTCGTCTATAATCCATCTCGAACTTCTAGAGAGAGGTTGAGAGTGGGAGAGGGAAGCGAAGGAAGCAATAAGTAAAATGCAGGCTATGATTGCTTTCATGGTTTTGGACTTTTGGTTGAAGATGAATTGACTGGAGTGGCCGGATTGCTGGGTATTTAAACTGTTAAGAAGCTAAGGATATGATGGTTAAATTCAAAAAATTTATCTAAATCTCACAGGGCTTATCTTTAATCATTGTAACTGTATATATCGTATCAGCTATTAGAATCCTAATAATTCAAATGTCTTTTTTAGCATAAGTTAGGGTATGTATAGTGAGACATTTCAGGAAGACCACATTTTTATTTTCACACCAGCTCAGCTTGAACATGCATTTATTCTCATAATATTTCATATTTCTATCTTTGGCTTAAACATATTGTAAATCTGAATTCTTTCATTTGGCCCATTATTGAAAAACAATTAACATTTATATATAGCTTTGTGAATATGTTATATTTCATGTGGTCTCCCTCCATGTTATACATCTATCCATACCATTTCATGTATTAATTAAACTTTCACTAGTATTTCATGTTGTGTATTCACTAGTGAATAAAATATATATAATACTAAGCTAGTACTCACATATATTGGTATATATACAGAAATAATATATGTATTGAATACACAAACATATATGATTTACCATTAATATAAATTTAACTAAAATATATTCTACAATTAAGTTAATTATATAATGATTTTAATAAAATGATAATTAAAGAATAGGAAAAAATATGATATGTATATGTGTATGGTAATAATGATGGAGTCATTAATGTTAAAATTAAATACTAATAGAGTTCTAAGTGGCTTGTAGCCCACTGGTATTGGATTGCTCTCCTAAGTGGGAGGTGTAAGCTTCAAATCTCAATTGAAGCAAATAGTGTGTATATGTAGGGTATCTCCCTTCTTTATAATAAAAAAAAAAATACTAATAGAGTTATAACGGTGTAAGGGTAATTTTGTCTAACAACAATATAGAATGGATAATTATGTTGAATATAAAATTAAAGTGTACAACATTTAAAGTAAAAATGTATACATTTATTGTCATACAAAAATGAATTAGGAATATAACATTGATCAAGACTTAATATATTTTTAGATTTTATCTTTAATGGTCACCCATTATCAACTATTGCGGTATTATTATATTTATTCCACTCTTTTAATTTTGCTTTACTATATTCTTAACTTACATTTGCTTATCCCAATAAATCCTCCATTTAAATTTCACTGTTAGTTAAAAATGGCTAACATGTAATTAAATAAATGAGTATGCAAATTAAAATCATTTATGGTATTTAATTAAAATAGAAGATGCTATGACACTGTGAGAATGTAGTTCAGATGGTAGAGTGATTGCTTAGCATATGAGAGATATGGGAATTGATATCCCGCATCTCTATTTTGCGGCGTGGAATATAGAAACTAAACTTTATGAAATGAATCGTTGGGTATTTATTCCCATATACATAAAATGTGATTTCTAATGTATCATATGTGCTAATAATTTTTTAAAAATTGATTATTTGATATATATATATATATATATATATATATATATATATATATATATATATATATATATATATATATTTATATATATTTAGGTTCTCGTGCGGGTGAGGGCTTCAGGTGCTGTTGTGCGGTTTAATCTGAGCCATTCATCTCGCTTTAATCAACGTCCAGGATTATCAAAGTTTTAAAAAAAAACGCGGTGGCAATTTTGTAATTTTTGCATCTAGGTCAAAATTAAGGTGAGCGGATCTGTGATTAATGTGCGTGAGTTTTGTGCTTAATGTGCGTGTGTTTTGTGCTTAATGTGCATGAGGTTTGTGCTTAATGTGCGTGGGGATGTGCTTAACGTGAATAGTTGTTAAAACTTAAAGTCTGTGAGTGAATACTTAAAGTGCGTGAGTTTTGTGCTTAATGTGCGTGATGTTTGTGCTTAATGTGCGTGAGTTTTGTACTTAATGTGCGTGAGTTTTGTACTTAATGTTAGTAGTTGTTGAAACTTAAAATCTGTGAGTTAATATTTAAAGTGCGTGGGTTTTGTGCTTAATGTGCGTGAGGTTGTGCTTAATGTGTGTGGGTTTTGTACTTAAAGTGCGTGAGTTTGTGATTAAGATGTAACACTTAAGGTGCACCTTAGCTTATACTTCTTTGTTCCAGGCACTCGTTTTTTTTTTCTTTAATTTTCATTGATTTGAGCCGTTGATCTAAATTTGATCAACTGCTCAGATTTAACCGCACAACCGCAAGGGAAGCTATACCCGCACCTGAACCCTTCCATATATATATATATATATATATATATATATATATATATATATATATATATATATATATATATATATATATATATAGATAGATAGATTTTGGTTCCTGTGAGGTCATGTCTTCCCGTGCGGTCAGTGCGGCATACACCATTAGGTATGCATAAATGCATCATACAGTGTTCGAAAATACACCAGAATGAAATGCCAAAAAATACACCACACAAAAAAAAAAAATACACCACACATAATGGTGTATTTACGAACACTGTGTGGTGCATTTATGCATACCTAATGGTGTATGCAGCACTATATATTTACGAACACGGGAAGACCTGACCTCACAGGAACCTGACCCTATATATATATATATATATATATATATATATATATATATATATATATATATATATATATATATAAATCATATGAGAACACTTGCTTAGGTGATAATGTGAGAACAAATTGTGTACATGCATCCATTTAATATTTTTTTAATGGTCTAGATTATATTAAGTGTGTGCGAACGCGAATTAAATGTATGCAAACGCGATCAAGTGTTTGTCCACATAAATAATATAATTTATAACAGCTTCTAATATGTCATATATGGTAGTAATTGTTTTAATTAATTAATTGATATGAAATATATTGAATGATTTCTTACTAAACAATGTTGAAAAAAGGACAATTTTTATTTTATTTTGATTGAGACTAATATTAGTGTTATGACTTATGAGGACTAAATCTAGCTAAGAAATTAAAAATGAGGATATAATACAGTTAGTTTATAAGAGGAAAACTAAAGGTAAAAATAATATTAAAGTAAAATTGGAATTTGAGTTCGGTGAAGAGAAATTTATTATACTTTGCGTGTTTGTTTTTAAAAAACAAAAAAAAAAAAAAAAAAAAAAAAAAAAAAAAAAAAAATGGAAACTTATTCTCCTGGAGTCCTGGACGAGAAGACCCTTGTAGACGCACACCGTCAAAAGGATGGAGATGCGGGGTATCGATCCCCGTACCTCTCGCATGCTAAGCAAGCGCTCTACCATCTGAGCTACATCCCCATGATGCTCTAGTGTGTTCTATCATTTTATATAGCGTTTTAACAAAAACATCTGTTGCTAAAACTTTCTTACATTTATAAATTTAACCGTGTAAAATTAATACTCCGTCTTACTTTTATTTTATTTTATAAACTAGATTTTGCTTGAGTTGTAATTTAGGTTTCGTAAATGTAAATATATTTATTGGCTCATTTTTGTATAGAATTAATTTCAGAAATGTTCCCTTAACTATTGTCATTTACTAATTTTTATCTTTTAATTTTTAATTGAACTATAAATAATTCATTGACTATTGATCTTTACTAACTTTTGTTATCGACTTTTAATTTAACCATAAACGATCCTTTGACTATTGATTTTGTTTCAAATGTGATCATTTAATTAAATATGGAGTATCCCTAAATTTAAGGTAATATTGTAAAAACTTTAGTTCTTCACAATGATGAACTCACATCACTCATTTACCCACTGATGAGCATATTATATACCTTGATTTAAATAAGATTTTATAGGTTAATTTTATTATATATTTATATTTTATATTTTATTACTTCAGTATATTTTGTTATATTAGGCGCAGGGAAGAGTATCAGACAACGACGCATTAACTAGTTCCTTTCAGCACAAAATGCTTAGAAAAAATTAAACGACCTTTTGAATTTGAAGATGTAGCTATTGGAGAAACTAGGCTTTAATGCGGTAAGAGCAGTAATTTTAGAAAAAAAATTGTTGATTTGGAACCCTATAAAAGGAAAGATATTTTGATGTATTTCAACGGATTATTCCTTTCATATTCCTTGTAGTGCAGTCCAAGATCACGAGTATACCTTAAGTATCTCATAACCTTTACTATTGCCTTCCAGTGCATAGCACCGGGGTTACTCGTATATCTACTGAGTTTACTAACCGCATAGGCAATATCCGGCCTAGTACAGCTCATAAGATACATCAAACTACCAATAACCCGAGCATATTACACTTGTGAAATACATTCTCCGTGGTTCTTGGTTAGATGAATGTTTGCATCGAATGGTGTCTTAGCCACTTGACTATCATCCTTGTTAAATTTCTCAAGGATTTTGTCAATATAATGTGATTGGCTCAACACGAGACCATCAGGTCTTCTAATGATTTTAATCCCGAGGATTAAATCAGCCAAACCCATATCCTTCATGTCAAATCTCGCATTTAACATGTTTTTAGTAGATTTGATCATCCGATCATTACTACCAACGATGAGAATATCATCGACATATAAACAAAGGATGACGTAGCCGTCTATCGTTTCCTTAACGTAGACGCATTTGTCACTTTCGTTTATTTTAAACCCGTTAGTTAACATCGCATGGTCAAACTTCTCGTGCCACTGCTTAGGCGCTTGTTTTAAACCATAGAGCGATTTAACCAACTTACACACTTTCCTTTCTTGGCCCGGAACCACGAACCCTTCGGGTTGTTCCATATAGATTTCCTCATCTAATTCGCCATTTAAGAAAGCAGTTTTCACATCCATTTGATGAACTTCCAAGTTCCGCAGCGCGGCTATGGCAAGTATCATCCTTATGGAGTTTATTCTCGTCACGGGAGAATACGTGTCGAAGTAATCGAGGCCCTCGCGTTGCCTGTAACCCTTGATTACAAGCCTAGCCTTATACTTCTCGATGGAACCGTCCGGTTTCATCTTCCTTTTAAAGACCCACTTGGATCC